CTGTCTCTGTGTGTGCCTGTTTGTCGGTTTGTCTGTTTGCCTTCCTCCCTGCCTGCCTGACGGTCTGTCTGTCTGCCTGCCTGCTTACCTCTTTGCCTGTCTGTCTGTCTACCTGCCTGCCTGACTGTCTGACCATTTCTTTGTCTTTGCCTATCTGTTTGGAACCCTGTTAGCCTATCTTGTTTGTTAACCTTCTTTCAACTGGTATTGGTTGTAAATTACCTTTTCAAATTCTTTTTCTTGAATGTCTATCTTTTCTTTTATTCTTTCTTTTAACTTGTTGATGGGTTCTCCCTGTTAATAAAATGAACGTGTTATTGTTTAGAAATTGTGGTACAAATAGAAAACACAGGTAATCTGGTTCCTTTCCACACCAGCCACATTCAGAATGGATGCCACACTAATCTACTGACAAGCTGCTTTTTAATGTTTTTTTTCTTTCCGAGACCTACAACTAATAACCATTTTCCTTACAAGTAACCCAATTACCTATTCACTCTCGACTTGAGTTTCTATTGACATTATTCTTCTCAGTTTCTACTGATTTTTCAAACCTTTCAGGTTTATTCCAAGTGGATCGAACTCCTTACCCTTGTTAGGTGTGCATGTATTTTTTCACACCTTCAGATCAATTTGTGCAACAAGAATTTCTCTATATTAAAGTTCACATGGCAACCAGGCGGACAATCAGACATGGTTTGATGCTACTCTCTTTTCATCTGAATGTACTTACATCAGTTATCCTAAGTAAAAATGGAGTTCCAAACGTCTGATAAATTTCCTGTTAAGAACAAAAAAGGAAAACAAATTTGCCACAAAATAACATATTTTTGGCGATAACAAATCACATAGTAACACCAAAGCACGATTTCAAAGGTTTTACCTTATTAAAGTGAGCCACAGGAACTAAAATTTCATCATTTGCTAGTTCTACTTCATCTTCGGGGACTTCCTGAAAAAAAAAACAACAACAGCAATGAAAAAAAACAACAAAAAAACAGAGTAAATCTACAGATAAGCTTGAAATGAATCTCCTTTACTATATAGTCTCCAGAGAAAGAGCCTGTGTGTACAGCGTTGAGAGAGTAAACTACACCGAGATGGCAAACAGAGGTCGGCGGCAAAAAAAACTGAGAAAAAGAAAAAATAATAAACTTAATTTGTGACTGGTTCCCACACACCTCTCAAAAGTGGCAAAAATTGCACTTTAATGATACATAAGAATGGATACCTTATGAAAATTGCTTTGAACGTTAATTAGTCGTAAAGACTTCATGTCTGACTAAAATCTAAAAGACCGTTTTCAACATTTTCAATCCTCCTTGGAACATCACATACGTTACCTCTATTCTAAACGTTCTTTGTGACTGGGTGGCGAGATGTTCCAGTGGAACGTCATTGTTAACAATGTTAAACACTTTGGAGCTAATAATCTCTAGAAGCCGAAGTTTCCCCGTTCCATTCGGCTGTAAATCAACTTGTTCCCGAGCTTCGTTGAGAAGGTCTGCCACCGTTCCATCTTTATTTGGAAAGAGAGCGAGTTCTCTCTCTTCTTTGAACTGGTTGGCAACCCAAATACATTTGAATTGTCTCTTGTTTTCGAGTTGGTCGATAGGTATGCTTAGTATTTGGTAGTAGAGTTTCTTTGGTCCCCGTGGTTTATAGTAAATCAAAAGATCCCGCAAAGTTCCTTCATATGTACATCTTAGCGCACTCCCTGGTGCGTCGCGATATCTGAGAGACATAAGATAAATTGGCGTGAACTGGAAACAAAACACCGTGAGAAAAAAAAAAAAAAAAGATAGTAGGGGGACCTTAAATAAGCAGTCAGGACGACAACGTCGAGGAAACGTCGATTAAAAAATAAATTTAAATTCATAGTCAGAATTTCGCGAAAGGTTGAAAGTTTACCGTCTCTTACAGCGCCACACCTCAATTATGATCAGGGTTAGGTTCCAGATTTGAACTTAAATAATTTGCCATCGCGGTTTCCGTTGTCGGACCACGTAAATTTTGGTGATTTCACGTCGTTGTTTGGCAGAGGACGATTTAGAAATGTCAGAACATAGATTTAAATTCACGTGCTAGGTTATAGCTCTACTCATTAGCTCTTTTGTTTCCCCACGTCCTCGTTGCCGTCATGGTTTGCTGAAGGTCCTTACTCAAGTCACAGTAACTTACGCCTGTCCTTTGAAAAATTGCAACATCATTGGATCAACCTCTAGGTTTGCTGCCACAGCCTTGGCAACCTGACAAGAAACGCACAGACAACCCATTGTTTAGTGACTTCATCAAGTGTATGAAGTAAGGGAATTATGTAACTATGTTCAATACGGTATAGATTAAGTAGGCACAAAACACTTCCTTACACCTCCAAGGCGGTTCGAGGGTCGACGACTATAATCAAGTAAGTATTTTCTCGAATGCTCGCGTGCGATTCTGAGGAAGATTTGTTTTCCCTGTCAACTCAAGAAGGCGGTCCGTACGAAAGATTTTCGCAGAAATAGTTGTAAAACTACATTATCTACAAAGCTGGAAAGAACCATGTGTTCACTTCAAACGAGACGAATTTCGATCCAAAAGGATCGTTTATTTGCAAATCGGTTAAATACAACATACAGGAAGG